TTAAAAAAAAAAAAAAAAAAAAAAGCCTTCAAAACATTCCTCATGTTTCTCAGTTAATGAAAATCAGTCTGCAAATCTGTCTCCACACCATTATGTCTTCCTATCTTGTATCCACAATCATTCTCCATCAAATTTCCCTTCTCTTAAATCTTCAACATTTCCCTTTCTGTTGAGGCAATATACACAAGTAAGCCTCTATAGAAAATAATCCTTCCGTAGAAATGTGGACAAAGGCCACAAAGAAGCAACTCTTAAAAAAAGAAATACAAATAAATATGTGAAAAGATATGTAACTTCACCCGTGAACAAATACACATTTAAGTGATACTATATTCTCCCCATGAGTTTGGCAAAGATGAAGAGATTCTCAATAATGTTCAAGGTTTTCGAAGGGGCAGGGAAACAATCACACACACACACGCATGCACACACAGATGGAGAGTAAACTGAAACCATCTGGTGGGCAAACTGTCATGTAACAAAACTGCAAACGTGCATATCCTTTGACTCAGAAAGTGCACTTCCAGGATTTATTGTAAGAACATCATCAGCCAACATTTTAAAGAAGTGTCTATAAAGATGTTCAGTACAGTGTTACTTATAATATTATAAGACTGAAAACTTACACATATAGTAACAGGATGATGAAATAAATTATTAAATAATATATAAACATTAAAAATATGTCCTGTTATACACTTTAAAATCCTGGAAAAATAAACCATCAACACCTAACAACAACAACAGTGTTATCTCTGGAGATATATCTAAAGTAGAATTAAAAAAAATTTTTTTGCAACAAGTCAAGTGTTACTTTCATTTTTTAAATTTTGCTTTAAAGGAAATTTTTTGCTTTTTGTTTATCACCCTTTTTTTCTGATTACAAAGTACTTTTTTTTTTTATTGAAAAAACAAAACACAGAAGTAAAAGAACAATTAGCCCTTCCTCTCCTGCTTAACCTCTGTGGGGCACAAGTCTTGCTTACCACTCTGCCACTCCAGAAACTCTTCTCTTTTGACTTCTTGACCTTTCCAAACACTTCCTCTTTCAGCATCCCTTATGTATACCCTCTCTCTCCCACTCTGACAAGCTTCTCAAAGCATCATCTTGTCTTCCATGACTGTGGATTCATTAACACTATATGGTGATCGGTTCTAAATCCCTATCTCAAGCCTCAACTTTCTAAGTCTCACACAGATATTTCTGCGTATGTGCCACACACCCCTCAAAGTCTATCTACCTGCCCTCCCTGTTATCCACCCCAGTACTGTATTTCCTGTCTCCCTTAATGGCTTCCTCATTCAACCGGTTTCCACAAGCTGGCAAATTCAGTTATCTCTGACCCCTTCCCCTCAAACAGTGACCAAAGCCTGCCTACAATCTACTTCTGAAATTTCTTTCAAATGCATCTCTTCCTCTCCATTTCACTCCATTTTTCATAGCTAAGAGCTAAGGCCTTTGCCATTTCTGACCTAGACTATTCAGCCAAACATTTTTTGAGCGCCTGTTCAATTCCCAGCCAAATGCACCTCATGGGTAGCCACCAACCATACGTCAGTGAAGGCTTGCATGTTGCTATGACTGTGAACAGGTTTCAGCAGAGCTTCCAGACTGAGACAGACTAGGAAGAATGGCCTAGTGGTCTACCAAAACCCAGCCAATGAAAACCTTATGCATCACAATGGTCCGACCTGCAACAGATCATGAGGATGGCACAGGACTGAGCAGTGTTTTGTTCTGTTGTGTATGGGGTCACCATGAGTCAGGGGCCAACTCGACATCAGCTAACAATTAATTATATGCCATATACAGTGAAAGGAGGTGGGGATATGAAAATTAATAAAATTAATAAATCAAAATGCATATGGTTAAATGGATGATGGGGTGGAAACTGATTGCAGAGAACCAAAATGCACTAATCATCACATTATTTTGGGGGGTTATTCATCTGGAATCCAGGGATCTCCCTAAACATGATGGCCACAACCTACTACCACCCCACACAACTGGAGCCCAAGGAGGCCGATGCTTTGATTTTTTTCTGCTTCTTCCTACCTATCTATCCATCCATCTAACAGATAACAACAGCAACAATACAGATAGACTCCCTGCCCCCCAAGGCCTTACAGCCAAGGAAGGACTGACAATGAACAGGTAAACAAATACATAAAATCATTTCAAACAGTGATAAATGCAATGAATAAAATAAAGCAGTCTGATGGGATACAGTGTGGCTAAGGGGAAAACATACTAATTTAAATAGGGGTGGAGGAGTCACAGGCAGTCTCTCTGAGAAGGTAACATATATTCTGAGGCCTGAAGGATGAGGAGCAGCCAGCTATGCAAAATTTTAGGGAAAGAGCTTTGCAGGCAGAAGGAACTGTAATTGTAAAGCCCTGAAACAGAAATGCACTTGGCTATGTGAGCAACAGAAGAGACAGTGTGGCTAGAGGAGAAAATGAGTTTGGAGAACAAAGCAGGACCTTGGTGGTGGTAGCCATGTGTCATGGTTTGAATTATGTCCTCCAAAAAAATGCGTGTATCAATTTGGCTGGGCCACGATTCCCAAAATTGTGTGGCTGTCCTCCATTTTGTGATTGTAATTTTATGTTAAAGAGGATTAGGGTGGGATTGTAACACCACTCTTACCCAGGTCACATCCCTGATCCAATGTAAA